AGTGGAGATAGTGGGCAGCCTTGTCTGATTCTGGTTCTAAGTGGGAATGTTTTCAATTTTTCCCCATTCAGTATGATGTTGGCCATGGGTCTGCCATATATGGCTTTATCGTTTTTAGGTATGTTCCTTCTATGCCTATTTTATTAAGTGTTCATATCATGAAGGGGTGTTGAATTTTGTCAAAAGCTTTTTCTGCATCTATTGAAAGACTCATGTGGTCTTTGTTTTTGCTTCTGTTTATGTGGTGAATTGCATTTCTAGATTTACATATGTTGAACCATCCTTGCATCCCTGGGATGAAGCCCACTTGGTCGTGATGGATTATTTTTTTGATAAGCGTCTGGATTCAGTTAGCTAGGATTTTGTTGAAAATTTTTGCATGTATATTCGTTAGAGATGTTTGGTCTGTAGTTTTCTTTTTTTGTTGCATCCTTTCCTGGTTTTGGTATCAGAGTAATATTCGCTTCATAAAAGGTGTCGGGGAAGTTTCCATTCTTCTCGATGTTGTGGAATAGTTTCTGCAAGATAGGTACTAGTTCTTCTTTGTAAGTGTGGTAAAATTCGGGTGTGAAACCATCTGGACCGGGACTTTTCTTTTTAGGGAGATTTTTAATTGCTGTTTCTATTTCAGCTGTTGAGATTGGTCTGTTCAGGAAATCTATTTCTTCCTGGTTCAGGCTAGGGAGGCTGTGTGTTTCTAGAAATTTGTCCATTTCCTCCACATTTTCTGGTTTGTGTGCATAAAGATTTTTGTAGTATTCATAAATTATATCTTGCATCTCCTTGGGATCAGTTGTGATATGTCCTTTTTTGTTCCTGATGGAGCTTATTAGAGAGTTCTCTTTTCTGCTTTTCGTTAGCCTAGCCAGTGGTATTTCAATTTTGTTTATTTTTTCATAGGACTAACTATTTGCTTTATTAATCTCCTGAATAGCTACCCTGTTTTCAATTTCATTTAGTTATGATTTCATCTTGTTGATTTCACTTCTTCTGCTGGGTTTGGGGTTGGTCTGTTCTTCTTTTTCCAGCTCTTTGAGTCATTTCTTAAGATTGTCTATTTGTGACTCTTTTGACTTTTGGTTATAGGCATTTATAG